AGCAATAGAGAGATGAGTAAGAGAGATTTATCAGGAGTTCTGTCAAATGTAGGTGAACACAAAAAAATGATTATCTTAAGCTGCCTTTGAAAAACAGGCATCTTCTCTTAGACTGTCAAGATTTAGTTTTGCTCTCAAGGTTTTGTGCAATGTGACACTTTGTGGTGTTATTTAGATCCTTTTTCCTACATTGGCATTCATTTTGCAAACTCTGCAATTAACATAGTGAAGAATTTTGTGCTTCAAGTAATGCACTGACCACACACTGAGTGAAAAATGATAGCAACACAAAGAGATCCAGTAGAGCTTTCATAGCTCAGTTGCAATTTTTCAGGAAGTCGTGTATATGATTAATGCTTTTGTATTTTTTCTTATTCAAACTAACAATCAGCTTAATTTAGACCCTTGAGAGTCTGTGATGTATTCGTTGAAACCAGATCTAAAATTACTATCATGCTGTTGGTAAGAAAATGTCCTTTAAATAGATGGTGATGTCATAATTCAAGGACTCATTGTTTCAGCTACTCCGTATTAACTGAGTTCAATTATGAAAGAAAGAAAGAAAGAATGCTCACAAAGTAAGATTTTTTCCTGTCCATTTTACTGTTAAAAATGTTGTAGCAAAGTTAATAGATTTGTAATTTACAAACAGTAATTTACTGTTGTAAACTCTGATTTGCAAACAGTACGGAAGTGGAAAATTATTTTTCCTCTTAACTTTGCACCATCAGGATATTCTGGGGGTAGGGAAGCAGACTCCTCTATTAATTCCTTGCTGATTTGTTATAGAAAGAGCAGATCCGTTTCTCCTTCTTGCCCTAATTCACCCCACTGAAGATAAATAGCAAAATAGCATCAAGGACATTGCAAATCATCTACCCCATGGACACAAATTAATGGTAAATTTACTTACAGGTGGGTTTGCCTAATAAAGTTAATTTTGGTCTCACCTTTGATTAAAAAAAAATGTTCCACTTATTGTGGGCTTTCTATGTTCCAGACACTGTTCTAAGTATTTTTAAAAATAACTTTAATTACTTCCCAACAGGCTAAAGGGGTAAGTAATACTCTCATCCTTATCATATGGAGAGGGAAACTGAGAATCACAGTGCTTATGTAAAATGCCCAGGGTCACACAGGTAGCAAGGGACATGGCAAAGCTGGGATCTTTGCAGCTGGGGCTAACCAATTTCCCTGTAGCTAAAAATGATTGTTTTCTTACTTCTAGAACTTTAAATGATATATGGGTGCACGTGTGTGTGTCTGTGTGTGTGTGTGTGTGTGTGTGTGATATGAATATGAATGTATATGACTTCTTGTTTCTATTGCTCAATAGCAAATATGGAATCTATTTTCTATTAGATAGGTCTAATTTTTCTCTGCTTTATCAGAGATTAAATGCAAATCAGGAAAGACATCTGAGATACCCTGAAATTATCCTTTCCTTGACTCTCATAAGCTTTATATCAAATACATTAAGGAATCTACCTCCTTGTCCTTCATAAATGTGCTCAGGTTTATGAAATATGAAAAGTGACAGATTGTTTATTAAGTCATTTAATCACTAACACATCTCCTCTCTTTCTCAAATAGTGAGATATTACTCCAGATGCTAGGGAAGTTAATAAGCTCATAACTAAGTGATTGAGAGGAGTTGTAATACATCTGTAACTGTCTCGTAATGCAAGGTAAATAAGCTAGAATTTATCTCCTGACACTCATAGGGCTGCCAGGAGACAGAAAACTTCTCCATTTCTGCCAGATTCATTTCATGTAAATTTTTCTGGCCTTTGCCAGAGAATATAAATTTAGGGGGCAAGGTGGTTGAGGGCTTCAGAACACTTTACTCTTGGGATTCTGCCCCCAGAACAGCTCCACGCATGAAACAGGTAACTCTTCCAATTTAAGATGTAATATGTGTACAAATTCACAGTAATTTCATCTTTGTCTCTTCCCATCAGGCATTCAGAGTCTTTCCCAATGCATATCTAATTTTTAGACCAGCGTGAGGGCATCTAGAATCCAACTTTTGATCCCTGGAGTCATAAAGATATAGTCTCACATTACATCACTTGGTTCAGGTCTAAACTCCTTTTTAAAATTTTTATACCTTTTTTCTGGATCCTTTTTCTCACCTTCAACCTCTAGCTGAGGGTTCAGTCTTTCTGGTCCCTGAAATTTGTATAGTGTACAGTTCTAGGAGCTGCCTAGACTTCTGTATAGCTGTGCCAGGAGCTTAGTTGCTCCCAGTTACCAGCATGGGAAGCCTTGCTCAAAGTGTATTATCATGTTAGATTAACAATACACAGGATTGCAATTCAATTGGGCAGTATCAGAATCAAGCTGATTGTTTTCTCTTTTACGTTTTTTGTCACAAGGGTAACTACTGATCTCACTAACACTTAGGAGATTATAAACGTATAGTAGTCCTAGCACGTCCATTCATGGTGACAATTACCTTTCTCAGATTGTAAATTCTAGTTCAGAATAAGAAGTTCAGCTATATTGTATGTCTACAGTAAAATAAGCCATTCTACCAACTTTTATTGAGCAGTTGCTTCATGCCAGGTGCTGTGCTTGTTCTCATACTGCTAATACTTGCAGAAATGCAAATTATTGATTTTGTATGAGATCATTAGTCCTGAAAGGAGGCCCCCAGAGTCTTGGAATTAATCCTTCAGCAAGTAGGAGTGCCAGCCTAAGCCTTGGCTTAGCCACATCGCTGAAATCTTAACCATCCCAAGGGCTTTTGACTTTTTTTGTTTGTTTTGATACTTAATGTATTTAACTTAAAATATATATTAAATTATTCTTCTAAATATTTACTATTCTTATATAATTAATAAAAACTAATATTTTACAAAGCTAAATTTCTTAAGAATTTAAACATTGAAAACTTAACCAGTCAAATTCTTCTAGACACATCAATAACATTGAGTCCCACATGCCTACTTCTCCCAAGTGCTTTTAGCGACATAAACTCAGATAAAACAAAAATCATGACAATAGTCACAAAATTTGTCTTCATACATATGCTTAACTTTTACAAAACACTAATACTCTATTCAACTGATTCCTCATACTACATAAATTTATTTTGTGCCAAGTTGGAGTAACAAAATCATTTATTTTTGTGATTTCAAAAGAAATCGATTCAAAAGGAAAAAGAACATTGTTTTGCATTAGTCAAGGTTGCAGCATCAGGACTGGGTCACTGACTGCTGTATTGGTTTCCTTGTCTTGGTAACAATTCACTGGTTATGTCAATGGGATTATTTGATCTATGCTTTTGCTTGGAACCTTTGCCAGCTTCTGCCTTCCTGCTATCCATCCAACTACTCCTAGTCCCAGTGTATTTCACCTCAGTTTTCTATGGCTGCATATGTCTTACTGGAATTTTATTAGAGATTTGAGAAGATTTGCATATAACATTTTTGATATATATATTTGCAGATAACATATTTCATGTATATGTATATATATTTGATAATGGCAGATTTATATGCAGCTGTAAGAAATAATACAGAGTAATACCATGTGCACTTTACCCAGTTTCCCACAATGGTAATACCTTGCAAAGTTATACTTTAACATAACAACCAGGATATTACATTGATACCATTGAGATACAGAACATTTCCATCACAAGGATCTGTCCTGTTGCCCTTTTATAGAGATATCCACTTCCCTCCTGCCCCCTTCCCCTTTTTAAGCCCTGGCAACAACTAATCTGTTCTCTATTTCTATAATTCTGTAATATCAAGAATGTTAATGAAGGTGGTCAAAAGGTATAAACTCCCAGTTAGAAGATAAATAAATCTCAGGGATATAATGTCCCACATGGTGGCTATAGTTACCAATACTGTATTACACATTATAAAATAGCTAAGAGAGCACATCTTAAATGTTTCCACCACAAAAAAGAAATGGTAATTTTGTGAGGTGATGGAGATGTTAACCAATGCTATTGTGTTAATCATTTTTCAATATATTGAATATAACAAATCAACCTATTGTACCCTTTAAGCTTACCCAATGTTATATGACAATTGTATCTTAATAAAGTTGGAAAAAAGATGCTTTTACAAAAGAATAAAGTGCATATTTGTAACATTATTCATAATAATGAACCACTTTTCAATATATATTTGTATAAAAAGAATTTTCATTACCAGTTTAGTGAGAAAAATAAAATGCATAATAAAAAACCATTGGAAAATACAGTTATCTGTAATGTTTCCTTCTTTATTTAAAATGTTACTCTCTTTAAAATTATAGGGACTGAATAACCAAGGTCAAATGAATTTCTGCAAAGAAGTGGTTTTTCAAACAATGCTGAATTATATTTATTATGATTACAACAAAGAGTATGATGGTTGCCAGTAAACAGACAGAACTCACCATCCCACATCTTCTGATAGTTAAGCAAGAGATATATTACCTGCCTGAAAGTCCTGAACAGTGACTGTAATGGTATGATCACTGAATGGAGAATCGTTAACACCTGAGCTCTGTCAATAACAATAACAAGCTGTAAGTATGACCTCAGGCAAATCACTTTATTAATCTGTCCATTGGTGGGAAAATTGGATCAGATGACCTCTAAATACCTGCCACTTCAAGCAGAGTTTGTGGTTACATTTTTTACATTATTGTGCACAAAAAATGTAAATTTATTACTCATCCAAATGCAGCAGGAAAGTCAACAGTTAAATTAATTTAGTTAAAAAAAATCAATGTGCGATGATATGAAGAAGAAATCTGCTCCAGGTCCTGTCTTTAGATAGGAGACCAATTATTTAAAGTGGATATCTAGATGTAAGGACCTCCAGGATCTTATCTGCTACAGTCCAGTGAAAAATGAGCATTCATAGGATTTACCCAGTATATGGTTCACATCATGTTTGAACATGTGTTTGAACAGATGTTTTGTTTTGTTTTTTGGGGGGGTACCAAATTACTTTATTTGAAGAATGGTACAAATGAAAGTTAAGTAGATGTTTTGGTACAACTTATAGAAAAGGTAAAGGTAACCCCAACATGCATGCACTGCCTTGGCGACCAGGGAAGTCACCCTTGTGGCTATGGGAAGACAGCCTAAGGCTTAGCTCTCACTATCACTGTTTCCCAAGGTGTGCTTGTCAAAGAGATACTCTGCCATGCCAGATTCGGTAGCCCCCATCTTGCGCAGGTTGGTTACGTGGTCACCCAATTCTTTGATGGATTTCACCTGCTCATTCAGGTAATGAGTCTCAATGAAGTCACACAAATGGGGGTCACTTTTATCAGTGGCCAGTTTGTGCAGTTCCAGTAGTGACTGATTCACGCTCTTTTCCAAATGTAATGCACACTCCATTGCATTCAGCCCTTCTCCCAATCATCACGGTCTGGTTTCTTGATATCTGAAGGAAGATTCGGCCACCTCGGTTCTGCAGCTTTTGGCGAAGTTCTTCAAAGCCACATCATCGGTAGTAAGTAGTAAGACATGGACAGGTAGACGTAGGAGGCGTAGAGCTCCAGGTTGATCTGGTGGTTGATGGCAGCCTCCGAGTCCTGGTGGTAGTTCTGGCTCACCTGTGAGGGGGATGCGGTCGTCATGGCGGCGGCTGAGAAAAGGTGGCGGCGAACGGTGGCTGGGGCCTTGGAGCGGTCCGAGGGCGCGACGAAGAGATGGCGGAGGGCTGGCTCTGAAGGGCCGGCCCGGGTGGGGGACGAGCGCCGGGTTCCGTCCAAGCACTGTTGAAGCAGGAAACGGCGGGGACTCTTGGCGGAGACTGTGGCCTGAACAGATGTTTGAACATGTGTCCACTTGTATGCAGATTTTTTTGATAAATATATTGGAAATTTTTTTGGAGATTTGTGACAATCAGAAAAAAACCTTGCAGATGAGCTTCATAGCCTAGAAATACTGAAAAATTTAAGAAAAAAAATAGTATTCTAATAAGAATACAGTATAACATACAAAATACGTGTTAATTGTTTATATTACTGGTAAGGCTGGTGGTCAACAGTAGGCTACTAATGGTTAAGTTTTGGGAATCAAAAGTTACACACAGATTTTCAACTGTATAGGGGGTCTGCGCCCCTAACCCCCATATTTTTCAAGGGTCAACTGTACTGATAGGGTTCAGGACAGACAGCCGTAAAATGTGCCACTTTGACAAGTGGATTATTTCAAGTTGAAATCAATCAAGGCCCAAAAGATTCAGGAAGAACTTTTACCTCCCCCGCCACTTCCCTCCCCTCCTCCCCTCCCCCTGCCTGAAAGGCCTAAAAAGAGCCTGGGTGGCTCAGTCGGTTGGTTAAGCATCTGCCTTTGGCTCAGGTCATGATCTCAGGGTCCTGGGATCAAGCCCAGTATCGTACTCTCTGCTCAGTGGGGGAGTTTGCTTCTCTCTCCCACTCTCTGTGCTCTCTCTCTCTCAAATAAATAAATAAAATCTTAAAAAAAAAAAAAGTGAAAGGCCTAGAAAGAAATAGAGGTCCAGGAAGAAATTATCACTAGAAATAATTACAAAGATGGTGGTTTAGGTGTTGTTGGGCTCAGCAGGGGAGAAGCACTGCAGGGCCCAGAGATCAAATTTGTCTGTGTATCCCCCTGTCTGCATGGTATGGCAAACACTGTTTACCAAACATTTGCTCTTCCCATCTTCCTATGAACTGTCTTCCCCTTCTTTGAAGTCTCAGACCTCTACCCCCTTTTCCTTAGCTCAGGTTGGCATATAAGCCTAAATTGCTTGACTACCTGTGGGTCACATAGTCTTATGGGGCTCCCATTTGTATGTAATTAAATTTATTTTTCTCCTTTAATCTGTTTTATGTCAGTTTATTTTTTTATTTAAATTCGATTAGCCAACATATAGTGCATCATTAGTTTCCGATGTAGTGTTCTATTTATCAGTTGCGTATAACACCCAGTGCTCATCGCATCATGGGCCCTCCTTAATGACCATCACCCAATTGTTTTATATCAGTTTAATTAATAGAATAACCAAAAGAACCTAGAAGGGTAGAGTAAAAATTTTTTCTCTTCTACAATACTAATAGGTAGTCACAAGTTTCTTTTGGACTGTAAGTTATCTTGGTGACCAGGGAAAGTTTATCTTTACATCTTACCCATTTGGTACACTGTCAGATTCATAATAAGCACTCAGTAAATTTATCTCGACAAATGAAATAGTATGAGAGGTAGTGGGCTGTTCATGGAATTATAAATTGTTAGCACTAAAAAGGACTTCATCCATCATGCAACTATTTATTTATGTGATCTAATAATTCTCTACCTTGGCTGCTAAATAACAAAAGCTGAAGAACTTTTTAATACAATCCACACCCACAGTTTCTGATTTTATTGATTTGGAGTGGGACCCAGCATAGTGTTTTGTAAAAGCTTTCCAGGTGATTCAGCTAGGGTGGTGGAAAAAGAAAACAGATCTTGCCTATTGCTGTCATTTTCAAGGAGTCAATCACAAGAGATTTGAGGTGATCAGTACATGCGTGTTCGTGGCAGAACACAGCTGGACCCCGTTCTCCTGACTGGTGGAGCAGAGTATTTACATTACAGTGGGTGATTGCTATAGGAGGGGATTTTGCACACAAAAGGCAATTGACTTACACAAATATGGAACAGATCATTAGAAGTTGCTTAGAATACTTTTTTTTAATCGTAGAAAAAGAGCCTGGAATTCCTTTTTAGCATTTGAATGATTTATACTTGTCACTCATTCCATTGTGGGCTATTTTTTATCTAAAGAAAGATTTCCTGGTGGTAATTAGCCTAGTTGGTAATTAGATAATTTTGGGTTTGACCCTTACCTCCATAATTACTGTTTGTACTTGGCCATGTTGCTCAAGTATTTTGAAGTGAAATTTCCTCATCTGTAAAATGAAAATAATAGCATTGCCTCCACAGAGTTACTGTAAGGATTATATGAAGTCCTATCTTTTAGAGAAGACTCGATACAATCCTTAATAAAGAGAAAGCATTTTCTAAGTGGTACTTTTACTGTATTTTTATTCTCTTCCTTGAACCAGAAAATAGAAGTTATTTGAAGAAATTTTTGTTAGAAGGCAAAGATGTTGATGTCAATACATACTTTTTTTCCCCAGTATTAAACCTACCTCGTTTACTTCCCTGCTTGTTTAATTGCTGCAGGAAAGTAACTCCCTGAAATTTCCCTTGATGAGGGAAAAAAAAAATCAGTTTATTTGTGTCTACTGAGAGAACTCAGAATGAAATGAGGGTAAATATTGAGTTAAAATTAAAGCTTTTTTTTTAACCAAAGAAATCCAACATACACAGCTCTCAGTAAACTTACCCCAGACCTAAGAAAGGGTCTGGAGCCCCCAGCAATGGTTACTTTCTCCCTCGCCACCCCTGGGTTGCTGCTTCTGTCCCACTGAATCTCATGGGGAAGAAAAGCCTGGCACCAAGCTTGCATGTCAGCAGGAGAGCTAGTCCTCCAAGAGCCTGTTGTTGGCAACCTCCACCACCAGAGTCCTACGAACACCACACCTTTGCACCACCAGTTGAGTGTAGCCACTCAGGCAGGGGGAACAATTCTTTGAGGAGGCAAAACCTTAGGGGCCAGAGGAACTAGTTAGCAAAGTGAGAGGCAAGGCCATTCCTTATTTGCCTCAAAGCAGGATATAATGCCAAAAAGCCCTTACCTTCCTCTAGTCTCATGAAAGAAACAAACAAAAAATTAGAAAATTTTGAAACAATGAAGAGGTAAGGATGTGATAAATCACTTTTCCTACTGGAATTTAAAAAAAAAAAACAAAAGAGGAGAAGAATGTAAAAGGGAGGAATTAGATTAAAGCGTATATGGAAATTCCCAATCAACTTTATTTTTTTTATTTTTTATTGTTATGTTAATCACCATACATTACAACATTAGTTCTTGATGTAGTGTTCCATGATTCATTGTTTGTACATAACACCCAGTGCTCCACGCAGAATGTGCCCTCTTTAATACCCGTCACCAGGCTAACCCATCCCCCCATGCGCCTCCCCTCAGGAACCCCCAGTTTGTTTTTCAGAGTCCATCATCTCATGGTTCCTCTCCCCCTCTGACTTACTCCCCTTCATTCTTCCCCTCCTGCTATCTTCTTTTTTTTTCTTAACATATATTGCTTTATTTGTTTCAGAAGTACAGATCTCTGATTCAACAGTATTGCAAAATTCACAGTGCTCACCATAGAACATAACCTCCCCAATGTCTATCACCCAGCCACCTCATCCCTCCCACCCCCAACCACTCCAGCAACCCTCAGTTTGTTTCCTGAGAGTAAGAATTCCTCATATCAGTGAGGTCATAGGATACATGTCTTTCTCTGATTGACTTATTTCACTCAGCATAACACCCTCCAGTTGCATCCACATCGTTGCAAATGGCAAGATCTCATTCCTTTTGATGGCTGCATAATATTCCATTGTGTATCTATACCACCTCTTCTTTATCCATTCACCTGTCGATAGACATCTTGGCTCTTTCCACAGTTGGGCTATTGTGGACATTGCTGCTATAAACATTAGGGTACACTTACCCCTTCGGATCCCTACATTTGTATCCTTGTGGTAAATACCCAGTAGTGCAAATGCTGGATCGTATCGTAGCTCTATTTTCAACTGTTTGAGGAACCTCCATACTGTTTTCCAGAGGGGTTGCACCAGCTTGCATACCCACCAAGAGTGTAGGAGGGTTCCCCTTTCTCCGCATCCCCACCAACATCTGTCGTTTCCTGACTTGTTAATTTTAGCCATTCTGATTGGTGTGAGGTGGTATCTCATTGAGGTTTTGATTTGGATGCCGAGCGATGTTGAGCACTTTTTCATGTGCCTGTTGGCCATTTGGACGTCTTCTTTGGAGAAATATCTGTTCATGTCTTCTGCCCATTTCTTGATTGGATTATTTGTTCTTTGGGTGTTGAGTTTGATAAGTTCTTTATAGATTTTGGATACTAGCCCTTTATCTGATATGTCATTTGCAAATATTTTCTCCCATTCTGTCGGTTGTCTTTTGGTTTTGTGGACTGTTTCTTTTGCTGTGCAAAAGCTTTTTATCTTGATGAAATCCCAATAGTTCATTTTTGCCCTGGCTTCCCGTGCCTTTGGTGATGTTTCTAGGAAGAAGTTGCTGCGGCTGAGGTCGAAGAGGTTGCTACCTGTGTTCTCCTTTAGGATTTTGATGGACTCCTGTCTCACGTTTAGGTCTTTCAACCATTTGGAGTCTATTTTTGTGTGTGGTGTAAGGAAATGGTCCAGTTTCATTCTTCTGCATGTGGTTGTCCAATTTTCCCAACACCATTTGTTGAAGAGACTGTCTTTTTGCCATTGGATATTCTTTTCTGCTTTGTCAAAGATGAGTTGACCATAGAGTTGAGGGTCCATTTCTGGGCTCTCTATTCTGTTCCACTGATGTATGAGTCTGTTTTTGTGCCAGTACCACACTGTCTTGATGATGACAGCTTTGTAATAGAGCTGGAAGTCCGGAATTGTGATGCCGCCAGCTTTGCTTTTCTTTTTCAAGATTCCTCTGGCTATTCGGGGTCTCTTCTGGTTCCATACAAATTTTAGGATTATTTGTTCCATTTCTTTGAAAAAAGTGGATGGTATTTTGGTGGGGATTGCATTGAATGTATAGACTGCTCTAGGTAGCATTGACATCTTCACAATGTTTGTTCTTCCAATCCATGAGCATGGAACATTTTTCCATTTCTTTGTGTCTTCTTCAGGTTCTTTTATGAGTATTTTATAGTTTTCTGAGTACAGATCCTTTGCCTCTTTGGTTAAATTAATTCCTAGGTATCTTATGGTTTTGGGTGCAGTTGTAAATGGGATCAACTCCTTGATTTGTCTCTCTTCTATCTTGTTGTTGGTGTATAGGAATGCCACTGATATCTGTGCATTGATTTTATAGCCTGCTACTTGACTGAATTCCTGTATGTGTTCTAGCAGTTTTGGGGTGGAGTCTTTTGGGTTTTCCACATAAAGTATCATATCATCTGCACACAGTGAGAGTTTGACTTCCCCTTTGCCGATTTGGATGCCTTTGATTTCTTTTTGTTGTCTGATTACTGTGGCTAGGACTTCTAATACTATGTTGAATAGCCATGGTGATAGTGGACATCCTTGCCACGTTCCTGACCTTAGGGGAAAAGCTCTTAACTTTTCCCCATTGAGAATGATATTCACTGTAGGTTTTTCATAGATGCTTTTATGATATTGAGGCATGTACCCTCTATTTCTGTACTCTGAAGAGTTTTGATCAAGAAAGGATGCTGTACTTTGTCAAATGCTTTTTCTGCATCTATTGAGAGGATCATATGATTCTTGTTCTTTCTTTTGTTAATGTATTGTATCACGTTGATTTGTGGATGTTGAACCAACCTTGCAGCCCAGGGTTAAATCCCACTTGGTCGTGGTGAATAATCCTTTTAAGGTACTGTTGGATCCTGTTGGCTAGTATTTTGGTGAGAATTTTTGCATCCATGTTCATCAAGGATATTGGTCTGTAATTCTCCTTTTTAATGGGGTCTTTGTCTGGTTTTGGGGCCAAGGTAATGGTGGCTTCATAAAATGAGTTTGGAAGTTTTCCTTCCATTTCTATTTTTTGGAACAGTTTCAGGAGAATAGGTATTAATTCTTCTTTAAATGTCTGAAAGAATTCCCCTGGGAAGCCATCTGGCCCTGGGCTTTTGTTTGTTGGGAGATTTTTGATGACTGCTTCAATTTCCTTAGTGGTTATAGGTCTGTTCAGGTTTTCTCTTTCTTCCTGGTTCAATTTTGGTAGTTGATACATCTCTAGGAATGCACCCATTTCTTCCAGGTTATCTAATTTGCTGGCATAGAGTTGCTCATAATATGTTCTTATAATTGTTTGTATTTCTTTGGTGTTGGTTGTGATCTCTCCTCTTTCATTCATGATTTTGTTGATTTGGGTCATTTCTCTTTTCTTTTTGATAAGTCTGGCCAGGGGTTTATCAATCTTGTCAATTCTTTCAAAGAACCAGCTCCTCGTTTTGTTGATCTGTTCTACTCTTCTTTTGGTTTCTAGTTCATTGATTTCTGCTCTGATCTTTATGATTTCTCTTCTCCTGCTGGGTTTAGGCCTTATTTGCTGTTCTTTCTCCAGCTCCTTTAGGTGTAGGGTTAGGTTGTGTATTTGAGACCTTTCTTGTTTCTTGAGAAAGGCTTGTATTGCTCTATACTTTCCTCTCAGGACTTCCTTTGCTATATCCCAAAGATTTTGAACAGTTGTGTTTTCATTTTCATTGGTTTCCATGAATTTTTTTAATTCTTCTTTAATTTCCTGGTTGACCCATTCATTCTTTAGTAGGATGCTCTTTAGCCTCCATGTATTTGAGTTCTTTCTGACTTTCCTCTTGTGATTGAGTTCTAGTTTCAAAGCATTGTTGTCTGAAAATATGCAAGGAATGATCCCAATCTTTTGGTACTGGTTGAGACCTGATTTGTGGACTAGGATGTGATCAATTCTGGAGAATGTTCCATGGGCACTAGAGAAGAATGTGTATTCTGTTGCTTTGGGATGGAATGATCTGAACATGTGTGTGAAGTCCATTTGGTCCAGTGTGTCATTTAAAGTCTTTATTTCCTTGTTGATCTTTTGCTTAGATGATCTGTCCATTTCAGTCAGGGGGGTGTTAAAGTCCCCCACTATTATTGTATTGTTGTCAATGTGTTTCTTTGCTTTTGTTATTAATTGCCTTATATAATTGGCTGCTCCCATGTTCGGGGCATAGATATTTACAATTGTTAGATCTTCTTGTTGGATAGACCCTTTAAGTAGGATATAGTG